ACTTAAGAGATTTCTGTGCCTGTTTCTGAACCCTTACAGTCAACAGAACCAGACTGTCACTCTTTTTAGGTTTTTTTAATCTTTTGTCCACTATGGAACTCATTCTCAGAAAAATATAACTGGAAATAGCATCAAATACAACTTACCTTTGACAATTATAAATCTGGTGCACAATATTTACATTTATACTTCCAAATCTTGTGCGGAGAGAAGGAATCACCTAAGCATCTTCTACATCCCATTCATTATGTTACACATACTTGTGAATACCTTCTGCGTGCTCTACCTCCGACTGGAAAGTTGAAGTCTATTCAACCTTCTTTATCATGGAAATAGCTCCATGTTTTTGTTTAGCCTTTATTACCACTATATATAATTCTTCTAGATCTGTTTCAAAATTACTTGAAGAGAATTAGATGTGTTATTGAAGATAGAAGTGTAAGGGGTATTTATACAGTGTCATAACACTGCCAACATATTCCTGGGTTTTCTGCATTTATCTCCTAATATGTCCATGGTCTTTTAACCATCGCTGGTCAATAAGTCACAAAACCATCCACAGTAATTCCAAGATCTCTTTCCAAATTTACAAGGCATAACTAAGTCCATCATTAGGTATATGCTGTCAGATCAATCTTCTCAACAAGCACTACCTTACATCCATCAGAACTGATTTTGGCCTGTATGTTTGTTGCCCCATCACTTAGTGTTGTGAGATCCCTCTGACATTCCTCACAGTCAGCTTTTGGTCTTGCTACCTGGAAAAATGTGTCAGTGTTTTATTATTCATCCTTCGTTCCAGATAGTTTATGAGCACTTGGAACAGCAGAGATGGCAGCACATGTTCTCCAGAGGAATCCGGGGGTAACACTGCTGTACTGTCCAATCTTATTTTTTTCCATACAGTTTCCAATATTTACCTAGTCACTACCTAACCACTACAGGATTACAGCAGTTTAATTTCCCACAGTTTTTAAAACACCATGTGTTCGGTTGATTTTTTTGGTTGGGTTTTTGTTGTTGTTTTGTTTTTTAAAGAAATCCAGACATACTGTATTAGTTAAATCACCTTTATCAAATGCTTCTCCAGTCATTCAAACACCATGAGCAGATTTACAGGGCAGGACTTCCTGCTGCAGAAGACAACTTGACTCCTCTCTATCATCACCTTTAGTCCTGTCACTGAACACTAATTCTCTTATTCTTTTACGGTTTCTACCGAGGTGCCTAATACAGAAACCAGGCTCACTATCAGTTTTCAGTTTCCCAAACGCTCCACAGGCCTCTCTCGAAAAGCCTGACACATTTACTGCTTTTCATTCTTCCATTCTAAGGCCAATTTAAGCAATCATTATACGCAACCGTGTGTAACTCAGCAACTTCACCACCGAGTTCTTCGCAAAGTGAGAACTTTTCCTAGCAATTCATTGTGCTGATTTGCTCCAAAATGTCAAACTTCTGTCAACGTCCCCCAGCCTGTCCCCCAGAAAGGAAGGCTCCATGTGGGAACTGTTCTGCAGTGAATAGCAATGCAAATAGCTTCTCTGCTATGGCTTTACCTTGTCTTAGCTCACATGTAATATTATGATTATCTATCAGCCCATCGGGATCTCTGGCAGGCTTTCTGTTTTTGACAGTTAGACAAAAAGCTTTATTTGGTTTTTTTTACGCCTTTATAAAGTTGTTCCTCAACATTTTTTTGGACTACTTCATTATGGTCTATATTTAACTTGTCAAAGTTAATGATCTTTCCTATTCTCCTCATTTGGATACAACTCCTGCTTCAGAAAGATGACTTATTTCTAGGAGCCTTGTTTATTTTACCATTTAAGCCAGTCCTTGTTCATTTTTGTGGCTTTCCTTCAATCTCCGTTTCCCCTCCCTTCTTGGACTTTCACCATCAAAACTGGACACAGTATTTTAGAAGTCTCAGGTTGTGAGGTTTTCGGGGAATTTAGGTTTTTAATTTTAAGCCAGCACTACACACAAAATTTATCAACTTATATGTGTGCATATGAACGTGAAACAGCTTTTCAGCTATGGTATTTTGTTGGGATTACATGAAGCTTTCTCTGTGCCTGTTTCCAAGACAGAGTTTTTTCTGTCTTGAAGGTATAAGCTGCATTTGTTCCTCCCAGATGTCTTATTTCATATTGGATGTATTAACATATATTTTGTTGGACTGTAGCCATTTAAATCAGGCAATCCAGATTGTTCTCTAAAAGTAATCAATCCTTTATTTAGTACTCTCCAGTAAGCCTATCATCTGCACACTTAACCCAGGATTTTTTCCAGCTAGGATTATTGATGTAGGCATCAAGCATTGCTAGAATGAGAACTGATTGAACAAGGACCTCAAAAAAACCCCAGCATTTGGTCTTTCCTTACCAGCAACCACATTTTGAGATTTCTCGGGGTATTGCTCTTTAATCCATCTAGTGCTTGCTTGTGGTTGGTAAAGTCTGAACTCACATTTTTACCATTAAAGAAGCACTTACCAACAAGAGTTACATCCTTTGAAAAATATTTATTCCATCTCAACTATTTCCATCTTATTTTGCCTATTTACATTTAAAATTGCACTAAAAAGACAGGAACCTTTAGAATGGGAAAACATTCATTTTATTCATACTTGAAAACAGCCAAACCAGCTTTATTCAAGTAAAAAACCCCAACAAAACCACACATTATATGGCAAAGACCAAGCCTGAAAAATGTCAGTTGCAAAAATGATGTTTTCCTAATGATACGAGCAACTGAAAATAAAAGCTAAAATAAAAGAAATCATGCAGCCCAAATTCTTAAATCAACAGGCAAGTTAATCAGGCTTTAAGAGTTCTACCTATATTAAACTATGATACCTGGCTTAGTAATATTAACTTTGCATAGTTCTTTGAGAACTTCTTGAGAGAAGTTTCAAAAGAGAAAGAATCTTAAGTGTAGCATGGAATTCTTTGCAGAACTACTGGTCAGCCACCCTTACACCTATCCTAGGTAAAATAATGAAATGTCTGACATGAATTCAATTAAGAATTAAAGGACATCCTGAAAAAAAATGTCTCCCTTAGTAAGGTTAGACATAGAGGGTTCATGTTAGAGAGGCAGCTGAACATAAATCCTCAGTGAGATGCTATCTTTAGAACTATGAATATGGTTTTTCAATGTATGAACAAGACAACAACCACCTAGTTAGACCAGAGACAAGTTACTACCTCTTTGCATGGTATTAGTTCAATGCAGTTAGCTAATAGGAAAAAGTGACTGAACAGCAATCTGTAAGTAGCTACCGATAGAATAAATCTTGAAGGCAAAGCCTTAAATAAATTTAAAATTGAAACTAATATTTTTGCAATAATGAATTTATCCATAGGAATAATATAACACATTATTACCAGATTCTCCATCAAGTGAAATCTTTAAGTCAAGCTCACTAGCCTGTGATCCCTGATGAATGTACTGGAAGAAAACGTCATGTCCTGTGTCATGAAATAAATTAGGATAAGGGACCATTAATGGTATTTTTCTGGCCTTAACTGTATTACACAGTCTTTCTTCTTCAGTGTATATGATTTATCTCTGCAGAATCAATATGTAACAGTGTAAAGGGCAGTTAGGTTTCAGCTGTATAAAGAAAGGAAGGCTTTAGCTTCAGACATCACATCACAGCTAAATTCATACCTTATATTAATCTTCTATACTATTTACATTTAATATGTACATAAACAGAGACTTAAAAGCACTCAGAAAGTTCTTAAAAGAAACAAATGATAATGTATCTACCTTCAGTTCTAATATTTATTTATATTCTAACCAGAGGTCCAAAATTCACACAGATGATAATACTAATTGTTTGTTTTACACTGGTGATGGAGAGCATAGTCTCAACACCTAGTATTTTGTTTTTAAGGCCTGGCTGCAGTATCTGCTGCTTACAAGGCAATGTCAGATTTTTATTTTTAATTTTTGAAGTTTGTGGGTACCATGTTTGCCAATAAAAACATAGGAGACAGCACCAGTTTCAGGCTTGGAGTGAAAGCCATGGTTACCCAACCTAACCTCTATATGTGAAAGTCACACAAAGTCCCTCCTCAAAAGAAATAAAATATATCTTTTAGAAAAGCACCAGTTGTGTTAAAAAGTCCACAACCTATTTTGCCAAAGAGATCACTGCCCTAGAGCATTTTTTCCACATGCATTAGAAGCTTGTACAAAGGTCAAATTAACCATTCGGTCAAATTTTCCATTTGATGAACCAAACTGGGATCCTTGAGCTTCAACAATATAATGTTATTGCCAACCTGTCTTCTGAATTGTCTTCCAGCAATTCTACAAACTCCTTGAAATGCAGAAGCCACATGGTGCATTAGAGAAAGCCATAAGCCAAATTTAAAGGTAAATTTTTGTGATCTGTTATGATTACATTCCTCATTTCTGAGCGCTATCAAACAGTAGTGCAACTTCCCACCCTTTCAGAGGGAAACCAATTCTGAAGAAACTAACACTTCAGCTAACAGTAACTTCTCAACACAGTAAGATGCATGACTTGTTATGTCTTAAATGCTTTAGAAAACACTATTGCAAAGACTCCAGGCCCTTGAGGAATGCTTTACTCTGTTCTCCCAAGTGAAAAAAAAAAAGCCACCACACTTTACTAATCCAGATAACTTAATCTGTCACTTCATGACTGAAGTTTCCTAAGGATTGCGTCACCTGGTACCAGCAGTGAGCTTGACCACACATCTGTATCATGCACTGACAATATAATTTGTTTTGTTATTGAACACACAGAACTCTCTATTCTTTGAGCAAGCTCCTAGTCAGACTGAAATCAATTAAGTGATTTCCAGTGACCACTCAGATAGCCCAGTATTTCAAGACTGGTCTCCCCTTGAACCAATCAAGTGACAGAATAATGACACTTTTCAAGACAATTTCTGCAGATCATCCACCTTGAAGGATAAGTAGTCATCAGGGGAAAAAAACCAACAGTAGTTACTTACTTTGGGAAGATGACAGTCATGAGCGCTGATGCATAACCAGGCTTGCACACTCCCTCAGAGAAATTTGCATACTTTGACGCCAATTCTGGAGGCCTGTGAAAAGATAAGTAGAGAGTCAGGACTACTCCTGGCTATGAACTGGCTTTTGCAACCATCCAAGTTATCTTTTCTACTTATAGCTTTCCTGAAAAACAGCTGTGAGTAATAACAGCAAACACAGATGGGCATTCATGTGTCACAGGAGAACAACAAAGGATAGGGTTAAAGATATCTGAAATACCACTAAACTGCTGAAAGCTTTTAGTTTAAAAATGAAGGATTTTTATATGTAGGAAAGTAAAGCTCATGGAAGAAAAATACCAAGATATCATTTTAGAATTCAACCTTTCAAAAGGAAGAAAACAAACAGCACTTTGCTTTGGCTATTTTTCTAAAGTAAGATCAAAGTTAAAATTATAGAAAAGTATTTAGAGTATTATTTAGAAGATACCTTTCCCGCATTTGAAACGAACTGCTGAGCAGTTCTGACAGGCTGTCATCAAGGGATGTATACTTTCAGTATTTGGAACAGATGACATGGCTGCTGTTCTGTTGAGATGCGTCTTAATTCAGCTTGCTTAGTGATTTCTGGACCAATTTAGAATATTGGGGTTTTTTCTTTCATTTAGGTTTTTTACAGAAACAAGATTAGCAACTCTAGAAAATATATTTGTCTGGTACATACTTTTGCCATAGATCTATTGAGTGACCTGGTATCCTGGTTTCGGCTGGGATAGAGTTGATTTTCTTCCTCATAGTTGGTACACTGCTGTGTTTTGGATTTAGTGTGAGAATAATGTTGATGACATACTGATGTTTTAGTTGTTGCTAAGTAGTGCTTATCCTAAGTTAAGGATTTTTCAGTTTCCCATGCTCTGCCAGGGAGCAGGTGTACAAGAAGCTGGGAGGGAGCATGACCAGGACAGCAGACCTGAACTAGCCAAAGGGATATTCCATACCATAGAACGTCATGCTCAGTGTATAAACTGGGGGGAGTTGGCTGGGAGGGGCAGATCATTGCCCAGGGACTGGCTGGGCATTAGTCAGCAGGTGGTGAGCAATTGCATTGTGTATCACTTGTTTTTTCTTGGGTTTTATTTCTCTCTCTAGTTCGCTATATTAATTTTAACTATTATTATTATTATATTTTTTGTCATTAAACTGTTCTCCTTCTTTTCCCCTGATTCTCCTCCCCATCCTACAGGGGGCAGGGGGAGGAGGAGGGGACAAGGAAGGAGTGAGCAAGTGGCTGGATGGTGATGGCTGGGGTTAACCACAACACATGGAAAACACATTTAATTTTCCTATTCACCATCTGCAAAATTTTTACATTCATCCATTTCATGAAAACATTACAAGGGTTAACACACTTGTGCTTTCCAAGTAACATGAGATACCTTAACGTCAGTCACAGTATGAGAAATATTAATATTCCTTTAAATAAAAGCATTTACAGTCACATGCTCAACATTCAGTGGAAGTTGCAAGTATTAACTACTGCAAAGAATCAATCAATAGTATTGTATTTATTACACCATTTTGTTGGCAGTAGGCAAGTAATGAAAGGTTTTTTCTTACAAGTCAACAGTAGGAGTCAAATGAAATGACAGTACAGATCCACAGAGCAGATCCAGAAAAAGAATTTTGAAGAGCCCATTATTATCACGTCGTTATCGTTATTAATGACGTTTTCTTTGCCAGGCACCACCAACATTTACACTACCAACATCACTTAACTAGCAAACTACTGCTAAACTGCAATGAGCATGGATTTAGAGAGTTTCAAATGAGTTGACCCCTGAGCTGAAGACAAGGTCCTGGTGGGACTGTGAGCAGTGGTGCAAAGAGAACCCCAGCTGGCAAAATTACGTATCTGAATGACGAATGACAGTAATACCATGCTGAATTGATAGTTACTGTCCTTCTTGTACTGATTCTGAGGTCACTTCCCAAGAGATCGCTAGCCAGTTCCAACTGTGTAATCAATAGATAGATAAATTGATTTTACAGTTCACTGCATACACTACAAAACCTCCTAAATCTATAGTTCTTAAAGGATAAAATCTATTTCTGCTGAATAAAAATCTAAACCTTCAACAGCTGGAAGAGGTAATGAACTGGAGAAAATAAAGTATATAATTTCTTCAGACCTTTGCAGATGAAAAGCACTGGAAAAAAATTAAGAACATGAACCCAGTTCTAATTCTGTCACAGATTTCCTGTATATATTTTACTATCACAATTCCTCATCTATAGGATGGTAGAACAAAAAATTTGGCTATTCACACTGTGAGTTATTTACAGCAAAGTTTATATTTCTATAAATATATTATATAGACATGAGAGAGACGTACAGGTGTAACACTGTCTAGCACAACCCAAATCCACAACTTTGGTTTCCATAGGTGATATTATAATACGTAACTCTAAATGAGAGAGATGAGAAAGAATCTAAGAAGTGAGCACCTACACGTTTGAATCCTGAAGACTTGCGCTGAATGATCTGTGTTCTGACTCCAGTCAGGAATGTCTTTAGAAATAGGCACAGGAAGGAAAGGCCTGTTGCTGACAAACAGAAGGTTTTAATGCTGCTAAACCATATCCCCTTCTGACCTCGTCAAAAGGGACAGCAGAGTGTACAGATCACAGCTTGTTGCAGCATTTTAGATACGGAGATACGTGGGAAATCTTAATCTTTATCAGGCAAACTTAAGTGTTGCTGGATTATTATTAAGCAACATAGAGAACCCCCTAATAGCAAAATCTTAAAAAACAAGCAGAAAGCGACTGGACTTTATCTGCAGCCACCACGGTAGTGAGTCATTGCTGGCAAACTTGTATAACTATTTCAACAGCAGGCATTTCTCAAATGACCTCAGTGGTCACAGAAAATATCTTGTGCCACAAACACAGGCATTTTTCTCTTTTCTGATTTAACGGCGCTTTCATTATCAAATTAAAATGTCACTCAGATGCCCATCATGGTGTTTCTGAAAAAGAATAGTAGGCTGAAACCCTCATGCATTTGAGTCGCACAGAATGCCAATCAGAGCCGCATACTGATGGTGGAGCTGTCAATTACAAAACCCACAAAGATAGTCAAGAGTTGCTAAAGCCTGAGGGGCCGAGCTGTTAACATTTCTTGGATGTGATGAAGTTCATGATCTGGAGTGCCAGAGGCAGAACAATTCTCGTAAGCCAATTGTAGCTGCCATCTCGTATCATTCAACATTTGCTCATCTCCTTTCTTCTAGCCACATATTGAGCCAGCAGGCTACAGAAAACTAGAAGTGGGCATTCAACATTTTAAATCTATCTAGAGACACATTTTATTGGTTCAATTGCTTCAGACCACACAGCACACATTGTCATCGCCAGCATGTTGATAATGATCATGTGCTACATCAGGTGTAACTGAATGCAAAACATTTCGAGTAAGGCAGGATACAGCCTTACTGCCTACCGTTCTGCTACCACATGAAGCTATCCAAGCTAACATAACTGTAGATATATACATTTGCTTTGTGATTTTTTCGTGCAAGATTCACAGATCTCGCAGAGATTGCTCTTCCATAAATCAGACTGCAAATCAGACTTCCTGCATGAAGTGCCCCATAGAGAACTCTACATTTTTCAAACAAATCCAACTTTATAAAATCACAGTGCTGTTAGTAGGTACACAATTCCATAACAAAAAAAAATGTGTACAGAACTGAAGTGGATGGATAAGCATCTCCTTCTTATCTGATGACAATGTACTTATTATACTGCTGCATATATTGCTGCTTCTCTGATTATGTTTCTTATTTCCAAATGGAAGAAGCAGTATTATATTCTGCAAAGTCTGCCTCACAAATTAGCAAAACATGGTGCACAGCATTACAAGAGCTTATGTTTGATTCTCGTTTTATAATCCCGAATGCTGCTTACAACAGATGGGTCAAGAACTATGCACCAAACCAAACAATATTACTTTTTTAGTGCTTTACCAGTAAATAGCTTCATCTCACAAGCTCCATTACCGCGCCTGGAAAACACGGCTATCCCGATCACACAGAAAGCTGTTGCAGTAAACCGGGAAGGGCTATCATGACTCTTATGGCACAAAGTGCAAATCTCCTCTACATTTTCCAGGTCCAAGCATATTGTTTCAGCTCCTTATTTTCATGCTCCTAGTTACAGTGAAAGCATCAGCTAGGTTGAGCGAGGTAGTTAAAGAGCTAGTGGAGACAGCAGAAAGAATATAATTAGATGACACTGCTGTCCCTTAAATTTTGCTGAGATTTTGTGCAGGAAAAACCAGTAAGACAATAAGTTTATCCAGAGTAAGTGAGGGAGACAATTCATAGTCAGTAACTGTAAACATCTGCAGTTTTTAAACAAGTGCCTGCATGAGGGTCAAGTTAAAGGGAATTTATTTCCCTAAAAAGAAAATGTACTCTTGATTTTTCTTGTGACTTTTTTTCCTGACTTTTCTCCTATGAGACTAGCACACATCCTGAATTAAGGTTTACTGTGGTTCTCTACACTGCTATGTGGACATCAATCTTAACAAAATTTCACAATTTGGATAAGTTAAAAATCCAGCTGCTTTCAGAGGATTTAGAAAAAGTAACAAAATTCTTCCTTCTGCTTGCATTTGGCAGACGTCCGTCTTCTTTTAATCTCAAATAGGAAAACGTCACCATGGTTAATTCCTTCATCATGTCTTGATCAGGGACAGCATGTCATCCTCATAGGACTGGAATCTAAACTGATTTAAAAAAAAATTAGTAATACAAACTCAGTGTTTGGACTACTAAAAAAAATGTCTGCAACTAAGCTCATGTAACTGAATATTACAAAGTACACTTTAAGAGACAGATTTTGCAGCTTTTCTTTCAACATGGAATTTAAATGGTGAATTGTAAAAACTGAAAAATGTCAACTGCTTGAGATTATTTGAGGACTGACTTCTCTTGCTGCTATTCTTGCACACAAAATATATGTACTTATACATTTCCAAAACAAGGAAAATGAGTTTTTTGACAATGTGCTCTTTAGGTTGACCCTTC